TAAAAAAAATAAAAACAAAATAAAAATGGCGAGCCGACGAGCCGAGCTTAAGCGCGGCTAACTGAGCCTCGGGCACTAGCCGAGCTCGCCCAAACGGCAGCGAGTCGAGCGCAAGCTCGGCTCGTTGCCAACGAGCCACGAGCTCGAGACAATGGGCCGAGCCGGCTCGGCTCGGCCCATTGATACCACTAGCTCGCATAGCCTAATCCCCTATGCGGTCGCATATGCCCCTTCAGAGAAATCTAGCACCCAGTTCAAGACCTCTATACGACCGCATCACCTACTACTATGCGGTTGCATAGTAGTAATTTTTTACGCGGATCTCAATTTTCTAATTTACGTCAAATTCTTATGGAAACGAACTTCTTTCACGATATTTCAACCCTAAAACGTACCTGAACAAAAGAAGACGCCTACATACATATTTTTCTCTGATTTTTGCTCAAGATATCCATGAAGACCTAAAATTTTTGGTGAAATTAGGAAGGAACTCATTGAATTTGGAGATTTCACACCTTTATTCATGTAATTTGATTTCTCCTTGTTGAATAATTCTAGGATTTAGACTTTTCCTACATGAATTTGTTTGAGATTGATTTGACTTTTATTACATTCTTCATAGATCTAGTCATGCTCTTTTTATTGAATAATTGAAGTATTTTTTGAATTTTACTCTCAAATTTATATTATTTGTGTGATTAATTACTGTCTTATGCTTGATGTATCTTATTCCAATGAAAAACGTGTGATTGTGTTATAAGAAATCTAGATTTTAGGATTTACGGTTGAAATAAATTGATTTCCAACGATATATCTTCCGATTAGAGAGTTGTGATAAAAACCTCTAATTGAGTAAAAAGAATGAATAATTGATGTTGAATGACACATTCCAATTGAGGGAATTCCGGTGCTTCACTATTCGAAACATTGATTTTAATTTCGTTATGTCAAACATTGATTTAAACTTCACTAAAGCAATAAATTCTATTACACATTCCAAGAGAACATTCACTTTTTGATCCTTTGAGCAATTTTTCATCTTCCTATGGAATCGACACCCCAAAGCTATGCTACAAATATCGCGTTATTCTTTGAGCGTAATCATCAACTCAATGAGTATATAAGTTTGGTATATTTGGAAGTCAAAAACTATTTTCGGATAAATGAAAAATTAGTGAATGTAGTAGTAAGGTTGATAAAACATGGTTTTTGAAATAATTTTAAAAAATTTAAAAATAACATCGTGAACAGCGAGTGGTCTAGTTTTCGAAAAAATCGCTCGAGCAGTGAGGCAGCGGTCAGTGAGCAATCGATGAACCTGTGCACTTTTCGTAAACAAATTGATTTTTGGGTAGTGTCTTTTCGGATGCAACCATTCAATCTTTATAAATTAGACCCTTCTATGATGGTTTCGTTCACTCTAATTTCATGCAATCATTGCATTGATTAACATCAAATCGATAGCCAAATTTCTGCATCAAAATTGTTTTTTCATTCGTACAAAAAGGAATACAAAACATTGTTCGGTTCGTCATTTCTTGTGATTCGAAGTACTGCCATCACAAGAAGCACGTAGTTAAATTCACTAGCAATCACTATAGTTTGTGTCAATTGAGTTATTATACTTTAATTTTATCTCAATTTGTGTCACTCATTTTAGTTCAATCCTTTTGACTAACGTCACATGCTTATGTGGATGTTAATTATTGGCGGTCCTTCTACGTGACTGTTAAAAAATGACTTGTAGGCGTGAAGTATAGTGATCTTGAATTATAATAATCTATGAATTAATCATATTGTCGAACTTTAAATTTCAATTGAGTCACTATACTTCAATTTGTGTCAATTGGGTACTTTATGTCATATTTTAATGTCACTTATCAATAGTGAATAATGTTTACATAACGAGTGTTTTACTTTAGGTCCACATGATAAGAAAGAATTGGACTAAGTAGAGACAATTAAAATATAATGGATTCAATTGACAAAAATTGAAGTATGAGTACCTCACTTAAAAATTATAATGACAAAAATGAAGATGATATCGCAACTACCTCGAGAGAGGGGGAGGTTGGTGCACTTCTTCTCTAACTACAAAGTGAAAATATTTGTTATTAATATTGTGTTAATTATGCATGAAACTCCAAAATTAGCAGCGTTTCGTTTCCAGATCAGCTAAAGAGCACTAAAATCACGTTCTTACTTTTGCTCATTGCTGTGATATATTGTTTTCAGGAATTATTTTAATTAGCATAATGCTTGTCGTACATAATTTATGTACATAAGAGGATACATAATGTGATGTGACAATCATCTGATAGTTAATGTGAAAGTGTGAGATTTGAATTAAAAGTTGGATATGCGCCACATGTAATTATATGAACCATTATGTGAAAATTTATATACTCGTCCAATTAATTATAGCTCGGCTCGACCCATACTCGCACGAGCTCAGCTCGTTTCCTTTTGGGCGAGCTCGGCTCGTCGTGCTCGCACGAGCCGAGCTTAAGCTCGGCTCGTTTCCTTTTGGGCGAGCTCGGCTCCT